GAGGAGGAGGAGGAAAAATCAGTATCCAATCTGAGTAGGAGATTTTAACCATCATGTCCTTCATTCAAGTGCTTCTTATCTTTATCATTTTGTTTAGGGCAGCAAAGAGAATTTAAGAACACAACTCCACGTCTCACTGGCATTCCTCCCTGATTTCAAAATTCGGATAACCTACTAAAGACATTTATTTCCATCCACTTTATTTAGGACGTTGCTTGACAAGACTGAACCATAACCACTTCCCGCGCCTGTCTGAAATCCTTGCTTACATTGTTGTTACTTACTTTCGTCAGTCAAACGTCACTATTTGGTCGGCAACCTCGGAAAGGATACTTTCGACGGTATGTTGGCCACGTTTGTTTCCTTTTACTGCAGTGGTTCAACCGGCATTTACCCTTCTACCAGAAAATATCCGTCCAAATAGTGCAACGCCTGTCTTTTTACCAGTAAATATTATGAATCATAGAAAGGCCGTTCATATCCACGGACAACTTTTATGAGCCAAGTATGGCGCTTTCTTGAAAATACAGAGGAATGCATAATTATCCTTGAACAGATGTTGTGCAGTTTGTAGTTTGGGGACCTAAGACGTAGGTGAAACTACAGGTCCGGTTTGAAATTATTCGCGATTTAAAAAAGAGTTTTACACTGCATGGTGTCATTTCTCTGGGCAGAAAATCTGAAAAAAAGCAAATGACTATAAAGTGAGTATGAGAAATGGTATTCTAGGCATGCTTTCTATAGAATATGTTTGGATTTATAAGGTCATCGAAAACCAATAAAGGCATTTATGTCAATTACGTTGTTACTTTCGGTGAGTGGAAGTTTTGCAAACGGCCAGAAAGATATGCCTACCAAACCCGGCCTTCAGGCCTGACCACAATATCCTGGGATTGTGCAGCATGATACTAGGTATTGCTAACCAACCTACACAGTTTTTTCCTGATCGAAATCACCTTTCAGAATTTCGGTTGACCTTTTATGAGTTACGTCACCTACCGCCCATCTGAAAGTATGTTCAGTTTACTGATTTGCTTGATTGCAGCGGACTCCATGAGGCCGCAAAAAAATAAAACACTGTGAGGTTAAACGGCAGCATAATCGGAATTTACCTCTCTTACAAGTTGCAATACGCAACTGAGTGTAGACTTAGTAGGCAATTCAGAGTTTAGAAATCTGCGCGTCAATATGGGATGATAGTATTTGGGTTGATTCTGCTGGCATTGGTCTTGCAGGCACTTTTAACAGCATTAAGCAATGACGTTGTTTTGGTTTAGGTGGTTGCCAGGTTCGCAGGCAGAAGTGGGTTTGTGTGCAGTGGTTGTATTTCAGTCTAACCCGCAGCTTTAAAAGTCGTCCGTTGTGGGTTGCACACCGGAACAGATATATAATGTTGCTGACGTTTGAAGAGCTTGGTCGGCTAACCATTGTCAAAACGTTTAATGCACAAAGTCGAACGGAAATTTAAATGGCTTACCGAGTTAGTCGGTCTTGAGAAAATGGATTTTCCTCCTTTCCGGCCACCTCGGCCTTTTGGTCGATGGGGGGTGGTTGAGAGTGGACGGGGACTGCTCCGTCTCGTGGCTTCTTTGTTCTTCTGGCTGGTGAGTCCATTGTCGGGAGACGTCTGGTTGGTTTTCTCAAGTTCATTGCGGCCGTCTTTTTCCGGTCTTTGTGTAGGTAATTACGCAGAACTTAATAAGCCGGAGGGAATTCCGTATGCTTTTGATAGAGTTTGCACCTGAATACCACGCCTCGTTAGTCGTTCTGTCTTCAAGCTATCTCGTTCTATGGTGGTTGCTTCTTGACGGTCAAAGCATAACGCGTGACAAGCCGCGTGTTTGGGTTCGGCCTCCGAGTCGGCAATTTGTTTTCATATAGACGGATCTGCAATCTTCCCCCGGTTTGTCATCATCGCAATAATTTTTTAACAGCCCCCTCAGTTTTAGTAAATAGTAGATTTGATGGCAAATACTTGAGACGATCAGTATTGTCTGTCTGTTATAACAGCTGTGGAAGAATAAAGATCACCCAGCTGGGAATGCACGTATTCTCAGACGAAATCCCACTGTCGACGATCGAATTTCAATATGGTGCCCTGTCGCCTGACCACCAAAAGGCGCACCTCCAACTTAATTAAGGATCAATATGCCCTTATAGTACTTGCGAGGCGAACCAACATGTAGTCTGACGAATTAGTAGTAGCCTGTCGTAACGAAATCGTTTCCACGTCTTAAATATTGCAACCTATCTCAGGTACTTGACTCATTCTCTGATCCAATCAGCGGCATTCTGCTCACAGGAGATTAATAATTCCAATATAATCAGAATAGTATTCACTAAAATGTTAATTTGGAAGCGCGTGCGACTAAATTAAAATATCGATTAGTCGGTCAACCGGGAGGAATGCCTCGTGAGGCTCGGACGATCTAGAGGTCGACGTACATTTGGAGGGGCGGGGTGTCGGGGGTCGGTGGTTAGATTTCCCCGCCGGGTTAAGTTCATAATTCCATTGTCGGGATTAACAAAACTGCTCATAGCCATTACGTGGAACGCCACCTGGTCTCATTCTCCGGCGAAAACAGATGACAGTCTACAAGCCTCCTTTTAGAAGCAACTGCAAAATACAAGCTTTCTATGCTGTAATTTACAGTAGATGAGCTAACTCATGAAATGTCAACCGAAATTCCGAAATGCGTTTTCGTTTCGAAAAGGCTATTTAGTTAAGTTTGTAAAGCTGATCATCATGAAGCATTCTTCTACAATAATTCAGCTACCCCAGGATGCCAGCTTTCGAATGAACTTCTAATGGGCTACATGTAAAAACTATACTCTATGAAAAAGACTACTTAATTAGCATGCATTTTTCTCATTGATTTTCGATGCCCCTGAAAATTCGATTATATTTCATGGGAAACATGCATGAAAATATTCATTCGTTTGCTCATTCGGTAGAAGATTACGTCTTCGACCAACTTTATGCTCGAAAAAAGGATATCAGTCGGTTTTGGAAAAGTTTTTAATTGTGAACTTTTTTAATACCGTGAAATGCCCGTTCATAAAACATCCTGTCTCTACATTTACTAAGGTTGTTTGCAAAGTTTACAGTCAGGCTCAAATCCACTTCCAAATTTTATGAACCCTACATAGTCTCCTCTTAATACCGCAGAGAAATGTATGGTTTTCCGTACGCGGAAAATAACCTCTTTGTAGTTTGGAAACCTTGAATGCATGTGTACCGCCGAGTCGGGTTCAAAGTTATTCGAGAATTAAAAATGTTTTTGAAAACCGAATTATACTCTTTC